GGCGACCCGTAGGGCGGAAGGTGTGTACACCCGGTTGCATAAAGGCGCCTCCGTCGCACGGATCGTATCATTTAAGACTTAATCTTAGAAGTTAGAAAGGAAAGCAAAGCCTAAAAAAACGTTAGAAAGGAAAAAAAAAGAACAATGGCTAGGTGGCGCAAGCTGCCGCCCGATTCAAAGGGTTCTGCCTCATCCATCCATCCATCCATGGTCTATTCATTGCTTCGTAGCTTGGGCGCAAATGTGAAGTGTGTACTGCCACTCCGTGTAAGCGCGGCGCGGGTTTATCTGCTTGCGAGGACGACGTCGAGTACATCGTCAATGACGACCTCTAGGGCAATGTCAAAGACGACCTCAAGAACGACGTCGAGGACGACGTCGATGACGACGTTTAGGGCGACCTCAAGGACGACCTCAATGACGACGTCGAGGACGACGTCCATATACGCGCGGCGCCTGAGTATGCCCCCAAATGCGCCCACGTGTCTTCGGCGCCCCGACCTCGACCAATGACGGCGTGCGCTTGGCTACCTCGTCATCGCGCGATCCCTGCGCCTTCTCTGCATTGCCCTTTGATTGGCGTGCTTTACCTCGCGTTCTGATGCGCCAAATGCGGATTTTGGAACACTTCGCTCGCTTCAAAAATGCAGGGCGTGTGTTATTGGGTCCACACGTCTTGCTTCGTAAGTCGTTCTTCGGCGCTCTTATGGGCTAAGGCAGAAAACTCATTAGAGAGCTTTACTAGAGCGTTCCAATGACTCCGATAACGATACCCGATACTCCGTCGCCGCCTTTGCGCATGCATCATATCGTTATCGGGTACCGCTATCGAGTGTATCGAAAAGATCTGCCAAAACTCTCCACTGGCTGCGGAACGGTAATGAGGCGCATGTCCGGAACTTGCCAAGCCCTGCATTTCTAAGGCTGTCACCAACTATTGGCGCCGTGCGCGACCAAAAGCGTCGCTGGGATCGGCCGTCCGAACACAGCGTCACTGGCCAAACTCTCACTGTGACGTCTTGGGTAGGATTATTTCTGCACTCAATGTCGGAATTAAAAAAGCAAAGTGCAGGCTCTTGAGTCTGACGATGCTGATTTAGGAGCGTGGTGCGCTTTTTACGCTCTTTTTACGCACCATCGAACTTGTCCTGGCTACTAGTAACCTTGGTCGTGACGTCGAAGGTATGAGCCATGAGAGGGCGCCACCGAAACATATCGTCGCCAATAGGAGTTACGGAACGAATTGCGTTTTTTATCTCATTAAGTGTCTTAAGCACAGCGTCTAGCTGTAACGTATCTCGTTGAACAGCTCGGGGCCTCAAAGCGCTTCCTCTTATGCAGTATTCGAGGAGCAACGTATTCCATTCTAAATTCAGGGTTAGATTTATTCCGAAATACCGTAGTTTGTATAAGCAGAGATTGGAAAGATGGAAGACCCAGATGTTGAAAAATAGTTACGGATTATAAGATGGGAGATTTCTGTACGCGACACTGTTATTACCTCAGGGCAGAGCACAGGAGGCGCCTCGGTCGGCCGCTAGTCAGCGCGGCTGGTGGCCAAAAATGGCAACTTTGGCACGGCATGTCACCGAGCGATTGGACACGAGCGCTACGTCACAGTTCGGAACGGCGCTCCGAGATTCGAGCTCGAGATCGGGTTCAATGATCGCGGCCGCGGGCTGTCTAGGAGTTGCAAAGATTCCCCGTTGCATGGCGCCACTCGTCAAATCAAACTTCACTGCCCGGTGGGCATAGGAATGTTTGTTTCAGGATGCATACAACGCGAATATGTCAACGAGCCAAACAGAAAGCGATGTTAGTGGTGCTGTATCACGCTGTAACCAAAAACCTGCACTCTCCCTTTTTTTTTTCTTCTTACAGATAAATGCACGAGACATTTTGTATTAAAAAGCAAACATGCCATTTTGATAAGTTCGCCACGTATATGCGCTAGTGTTTATTTCCCGACAAATCACCATCAAAAATACCCCTAGATATTTTACAAGAGTTCAGATATTCCACTGGAAATAATATAATACACAAAACACTGAAGATACACGAAATTAATATAAAATAACAGAAAGTATAACACACGTCGGCAATGCCAGTTGTTTCAACATGAAAAGACATGGGTTCAACGACAAGCTCACGTTCGCTGGGCACAATTGAAATACGCAAAGGGATAGGACAATTCGGACGAACTCGATTATAATGAAAACCAAAGAAGCAAAGGAAGAATGCTTATCAAAAGTAGCCCATGGAGAGACAGCGTTGCCCTCCTTAGATCTTTAGAAAGCATCCATGTCACTGGACGTGGGACAGAAAAAGATCTTGCAAATCGCTGCTTCTGAGACAAAAAAAAAAAGAAGAAAATTTTGCATAGACCGTTTGCGATAGGCGAAGCAAGCTTTGGGAATTTACGAAAAGACATCGTCATATGGCCAACTTTCTGGCACATTCCGGGAAATAAAAAGTTTTCAAGGAAAAAAAACATGCTTTTGATTTGCAGTCTATGATACGCAGGTAATCAGTCCTCGGGAACATTACGAGCTTTTGTCGAGAAAAGCAAAAATTGATAATTTTGTGAATGTGGCCCATAGGATTCAATCCAAAGAAATTTGTAGAGCCGTGGAATAAAAACTTTACGCATCCCAAAGTGTAATTACTGCTTACTGATATTTTATGACTGCCATCCAAACTATTCCCGGGGAACATTGCGATGTCATGTCTGTTGTTGTTCAGTTAAAATTCTCGTTTTCGTGTATCCGTTGGGGCGTTGATGTCCAAGAAAGTTGGGAATGGAAAAGAGAAAGCAGAAGTGACTTTAAAATATGACACACTGTATGGAAAACGTTAGATATGTTTGGAATATCAATTCCACCAACGAAAGTTTTTTTTTTTTTTTTTTGTTAATGACTATATAATCAGCGTGTGCTTGGCACACACTGGAATCGACTGCAAACTGTAGGATCATCAAAACTAGGTGAATAGTAAAAATATTTCATTCATCATTATCTTACGTGCTTATTACGTACTAGTGCCTGCGCAGCTTGTATCAGTAACTGAGTCTTGGATATGGAAAAGTGATGCTAACAACAAAGTGTTTCCCAGGGGTTAAATTTGCACGTTACCGAAAAGATAGCACCTTGCAAGTAGGTGATGTTTTTATCTCAGTCTTTGAGGTGGACGTTGCAACTGATAACGTGTAAGCGCGGGGTGTCAAGTTCGCAGAATGGAAACTCTTTATCTATCTATCCGTTCGTTTCTTCAGCCTTCTCCCATTTCAGACCATTTTACGCTTTCGTTGCGCCCTCGGATAAAGCAGCCTCTGCAGTACACGGTGGCATAAATATTGGTGGTGCTTTTGAAGTTTGTCATAAACTGACTAGCTCATAACTACATACAGGTCAGTTCACATATTTTCATTGTTAACTTCGGTTTCTGGCATGGTGTTTACATAATACATCACTTCACCTATCCCTCTCACAAAACCAATCACGTTTAAACTTTGTTCCTAGGAGACCTCGTCAAGAATGCGTATTCGCGTCCATTACAGATCATGTGAAATGTCGTTGAAAAACGCTGATTCGGTGTCGTTCGCTGGTCGTAGGGTCTTGTTACAACAAGGCAAACATCAGTACGATACATACGACGAATTGGTATTTTTTCGATACAAGAGGGGCTTAAGGCGTAAATGAACTATGACTTTTATTCAAGAACAGCCTGTTACAGTTTTGCAATGAATGCTCTTCTTAGCAAGTGCTCTTTGCAAGCCGTTGCCAGGCTGAGTTTTTAAGAGAGCTAAGCATCTTCTTTCGATAAAACTAAAAGAATCGAGCTATATCAAAGCCAAATGTCGTCCTTTCATCGCCTCTAGATTTAAATTTAAACAAATAAATCTTGAGTTATCTTCATAACAATGAAAAAAAAATATTACCTTTCTATTGTTTTCCTATGTGGGATACAAATAGCGTCACATAAGAAAAGCTTAGAAAAGCAGAATATTTTAATTACTCCTTCCCGGTGTCCTGTATCGACTCGTATTAGAAGAGTTGCTGCAGCAGATGCGTTTGCCAACTAAACCTGGGCAAATGATCCGCACAGAATCAGGAACGTCGGTTAGGCAATGCTCTAGACACCCTGTGGGCGAGGAACACAGTGTGAACATGGTGAACATGTTTAGTTGAGGGGCGTGTCTGTCAAGGCTCAAGGAAGAGTTGAACGTAACTCCCAGATTACATCCGTCGCTGACGCCACACAACTCAGAATGAATCGTATAAGAAAGGCGTATATGATTGCTTCTGCGACTGTAAGGCAGACACTTTGTGTCAGCGCTGTTCAGGAGCTGATTATATGCCAAGTACGCCTGAGTGTCTGGGTGGAGGTCAGTCAGTCTGACCCAGTTCGGCCAACTTTGCGGCGGCGTGTCTTTTTGTCTTCCCTCTGTTCCGTCTGTGATGACGGCTATAAATTGTTGTTCCCTTGCGAATAACCTCAGCTGCGTTAGAGATGTTGTGTCGTCTTGTCCGTTATTTATTTTTCCTTGTCTCAAAATTTAGATTATGATATAATTATAGTCAAAGGAACGGCCGCGTTGCACTCATTGTTTCTCCATGTTGTTATATGTAAGTACAGGTAAAAACGGTACCTGTACTGTACTGTAACAACTTAACGAGTCGTGACTGCTCAGTGCAGTTTCTCATAAAAGATTGGCATTAGGCAACAGTGCTAAACGTCTTCCCGGAAGGCGTCTTTGGCCGGTCTTTACGCCTCCTCCTCGAGCATACCTCCAACTGGATATCATATCAAGGCTGTCACGCATCACGACACACTACGACGCCACCTAGCGGCTTTCCGTATTGTGTTTCGTAACGGAACTTACGACGTGCCGTTATTCATGTTACGAAAGCGACCACTTTTCTTATCAACTCGTCGTAAAGCGAACAGACTGTTCGCCCGCTGCCTGGTAGATAATGGGGCGTTTATTTCTTTCCCAACAGTCGATTCAGCATGCTCAATGCTCTCAGCTCTCTGGTGGCTGCGGCCAGCACGGGTCTCCAGCAAATTGGCGGCGCAGGGACAACCGCGTCATCGGTCACTTCACCGCCGGCCCCGACGAGCACCACCGAGGACAACCTCAAGAGTGTGCAGCTGCCCCGGTACACCTTGAACGACGTCTGCCAGCACTGCCGCCACGACGACTGCTGGCTGGTCATTCACAACAGGGTCTACGACGTCACCTCATTTCTGACACAGGTGAACGTTACCGAGGAGTTGTTTGCGCCCTTCCTTGCGAAGGTTGGCCCACATTCTAAGAACCTTGGTGCGTCTCCTTTTCCGCAAGGCCCCTGGGGGAGCCAATCGCTGCCAATCTGCGGAGAGAAGCTCGGCGAATGACGAGACTGAACATGTGTTTAGACCCAAAAAAAACTGTCTGCACTCTAAAAAAGGTCTGTGCGTCTGCTTTCACGCACAACACTCGGAGAACCAATCAGCGCAACTCACGGAGGCAGCTCAGCGAATGACGATGCCGAAACATCTGTTTAGACCAAAAAACGCAGTCTGAGTTGTGACATTAAGCAATGCAAGCGTGACGTTTTGCATTGCCTAATGTCACAACTCAGACTACGTTTACTGGTGTAAACATATATTTCGGCATCGTCATTGGCTGAGCTGCCTCCGTAAGTTGCGCTGATTGGCTCTCCGAGTGTTGTGCGTGAAAGTAGACGCACAGACTTTTTTTAGAGTGTGCGCTCTGACATTGGGCATATATTCGCAGTGTCACGGCCCACAGATTGCAGCGATCGGCTCTCCCAGCTGCTTCGCGAGAACGGCGCCGCTTCCGATTTCATTGGCCGTACTCTGATGTGACGCGTGCTCAGCGAGTTTTGTGCGTTCCAAGCGATCCAAATTAGAATAAATAAAAATGAATCTACACCCGCCGGGGTGATGCTCTGTCAGACTTGGGTAGTAATTCAATTCTAGTAACTGAATGGCTAATTTAATTTTTTACGAGTAATTTGTCATTGTAATTCATCACTTTTGGTTAACAGTAATTGTACTCGTAACTCAATTACTTTTAGTGTCGCTAATTGCAAGATTCCTATTATGTAATGGCAGCCACGTTTTTTTTTTTTTTTATTCATTTGTAACGCCGGAGCTTTGTCCGATAGTGTCACTGACCGGCGAAAATTCCCCGAGTGTCTGCCCTCATTTCCCTTCTGCAAGATCGAGGGACAGTCGAAGGGCCGGGGAACTATCTGGGCGTCGACTGTGGCAACGGCAGAGGTCACAGCGCCCACAGTGGGGCACACAGGATGCAACATATAAAGCGAGAGTGCCTTTCGTTTTCAGAATGGAGAGGGGGGAGGGGATCAAAATTTTGCAAGTGTGTAGCGTGCATGGAATATAAATATCATCATTATACCTCTCGGCTATCTCCTGAATAATTAGGATTTGAGCCTCCATTGAATCCTTTCGGTGCCTACTAGCATTAAGAAATCACTTTTACGTTAAACTACCGCAATAAAAGAATGACTAACAGTCTTGGGGGTGATGTAAAATAATAAAACAACCGATACGATTGGGTATCATACTCAGAACTTAGTTCATATATGTTATTACTGAAGTAGGTGAAAGAAAAGCACAACATGGTGACGAATGTAGAATGACGTAAAATGCATCCTCAATGGTCACACAAAAAATGAACAGATACATCTCATTACGGTAAAATTCTATCACACCAACATTGTTGATGTTAGGTAGCTCTCCAAAGAAAGTAATTGCGATGCACTTACATTACTTTCTGGAAGTAATTAATAATTCAACTTGCGTACTTTTTGTGCCCTAGTAATTCTAATTGTATTTACGTACTTTTGGTGCCCTAGCGATTCTAATTGTAATTACCAACTCTTGGAGCAAAGTAGTTGTCATAAAAATATACATTTCCGAAGTAATTTACCGAATTCTGCTGTATGCCCTCGTCGTCCGGACGCGACTCTGGCGTGGACTCGTCGACACCTGTTCGGTTTGCTAGACGTTTCTATTGATACGCGGCCGTCCCACGTGTCGATCTTACTGATAGGGACATGACTGAGCCCAGCTGGCGTCTGACTGAGCAAATAGAATGAGTTGAAATCAGACGAGAGCGACGGTATTGCAATTCAAGGAATTTAGAGCTAGATATTTTATGATTAAAAATTAAAACAGCGCAAGGACACGGACAAGAACAAGAAGGTAGACGAACAAGGCGCTGACTTACAACTAGGGTTTCGGGTTTTCGGTTTTTATTTTGTAAAAATTCGGCGTACTTTTTTCGGTGTTTATTTTAAAATTAAATTTCCGGTTTTCTTTTCGGTGTATGTTTATTCCCAAAAAGGTTTACCGTTTTTTTTTTTTTTTCGGTGAATATGAAAGAAACACAATCGGACACCGAATCAGATGATCCTTGTAGCTGTGATATTTGTGATCACTCAAAGAATAACGACACATATACATGCGTCGTCTTCGTTACAACTTCCGTCAGGACACACCTCAAAATCGCGGAATTCGCGGGCATAATCTTCAGTGCGCTTCTTTTTCCTTCCCATTCTGACGGCGTGACCGTCTGAGGCGATGACCGTACAATGACCAGCGGAATGGCAAAAAACAAAAAAAAAAAACAAAAAAAACACATTGTATTTATGTTTTCAACCACAGGGAAGTTTGAGAGAGGGTGTTAAGAAAGGTATTAACAACTTTCCTCGATGACCTCTGAAGTGCATGAAGCGAAAAACCTTATAATCACCCACATCCAAACTTTTTTTTTTATTTAGGACCGGGAATTTGACATACTAAGCCCGACCGCAGAAAGGACATAGATGTCCCGCGAAGGCCAATCCAAGACCTCTTTTGTTGCATGTTGAACCTTGGAAGAGGACAATTACGAAGGCGCCACACAATGTCGAACCTTGCAAAGCCCTTCCTCCCTCTCTCTCTCTCCCCCCCCCCCCTCCTTCACCGTACTTTTATCGGCTTAAACCGAAAACGCCGAACCTACAAACTGACCTTTTTCGGTTAAAACCGAATTTCTGAAAATGGATTCGGCGTACTTTTATCGGTTTTTATAGGTTTAAACCGAAAACTCCCCAAGTTAAGACTAAAGTTTATTCGTGTTAACATCAAGTATAAATACTGTAACGCAATAACAAACACACAGATAAAATACATGACATGGACGCCACGTGCTCCTTAGCCACCGTCATGCGCTGTCACTATGTGCCTAAAGAACCACATTCCTTATCGGATGAAGATAGTGAAGGAGTGCTGACACAGTTTTCCCCCAATCTTTCAATTTCCCGCGGCGCCTCAATGATTTCTCGAGTGAGTTTGTCTTTATTTTTCTTAATCTCTTCCCATTTGTCGAAGACGGCAGTGCAGCCGCAGCCACGGCAATGCAGGCCAAGGTGACCTGACACAACCCTAAAAACGTTCTACTTATGTCCTCGCAAACGATCATTGCGGCAGCGCCCCGTTTGCCCGACGTATCTCCTGCCGCACGAGAGGGAGAGTGCACTACTCTTTCCTTCCTACCTTCTAGTGCTTGTCCGTGTCCTTGCGCTGTTTTAATTTTTAATCATGAAATAGCAACTAGCCCAAACTTCTACGTTAGATGTTTTACGCGTTTTCCGAATTTACGTAGTTAAATAACGGAGAAAAGCTCTGCACAGGTTTCCCTTCTTAGAATCCGTGATTCTGTTGGCGGGCAACGAGGCAGGTGATCGGAAGGGGTAAACAAGCAACACGTATAAGGAAGAACTCGGTTCTTATCTAAAGCTCTGACCATGCAATGATGATGCAGCGGAAGGTCACTATACTCGGGGTCGTTACGTAAACGGAGATTACTAAACCAGATAGAAATGGAAACGAGTGTCACAGAATTAATTCCGGCAGTTTTCCTCCATGTACTAGAGGTCATATCGAGAGCGCCGGCAAACGTCTGGCTCTCCAAGGTTGGTGCATTTTGGTCCCACGCTCCCAGCAATCGCGTCCGCTTCTTCGCTCCTCCTCCTTCCCTCGGCGTTTAGAAGCACCTTTAGGAGGGCGCTAATGGCGTAGCGCATCGCGACACGGAAGCGATTCTTGCAGAGCACGGATAACAGCGACAGTGTAGCCTGTATCATTGCCTTTCAAAACATCCCAGAAATTAACGCGCGACAAGCACTCTAATTCACTGCATCAAATTTTCGAGCACCGATCCGCTTAAGAGTGAGAAATTTCGGGAGCGATTGCCGGTGTAGCGGTGGACTGAACCAGAGCATCCTCGAACACAGGGTTAAACGATGGATGTCGCGAAGTCAACAGGAAACTAAAATGCGAAGCTGAATTGATCTCAACGGCAGGGGAAGAGTGAGACACAGTTAGACGCTGCGCCATTGTAGCATCCAGTCAATGATCCACAACATGAAGTAAAAACATTAACGTGAAATACGAAGACTGGGAAGTAGCGAGGAGCATGACCAACGACACGATCAGAAAATAATGAGATCACAAGAAACGGAGCAGCCAGCTTTGATCGTTTCGCCTGGCTCCGGTGTCCTTTTGCTTGGAAACTGTATACATAACGTTTGCTGCTAATTTAAACGTCCACAATGACCAGTAAGTTTTCTTAGAACGTGCAACAACATAAGAATGCCGTTATAGTCGGTGACAGCTAAAGAGTGAAGTGAAAGCTCCTTCCACCTCTTTCCACATAAGCAGAGCGAATGCTAAAGAGCGGGTCGCCTCCCCTCCAGCGTCCGCTAAAGTGGAAACGGGTGCGAGGATATTCCACTGTAGATAAAAAGACAGCGTCGCCTTGGTCTGCCGCGCTAAGGCGGCACTGTTACTCGCTCTAGATTGGGAATTTGGCTGGTGCAGCAGTACGACTGCTAGCCGTGGGTCTTTAATGTGCACCACGCAGTATTGATACACGGCCGCACGCCCGTGTGCGATTTTCATTGATATCGAAACGGGCCGTGGTGGGGAGGGAACTCAGGATTTCTGAATTCTGCAGTGTGAGCTCTCTCTCCACGTGCTCCGAGCTCTTAAGGCTGATTCACACGCTTACGACCGACTCCGACACAACCTGTTTTTAAGCCTCTTGTGAGGGCTTACGACAGGCAGCGCAGCAGCAGGGATGGCGGTCGTAAGCGGCTTAAAAGCTGGTTTGTCGGTCGCAGCGCACTCGAACGCAAACGTATAAACCAGCCTTTAGAACATGCTATGGAGGCCTGCAC